GCCTGGACCGTAGCTGCTCTACACCAGTGAGGGTACTCACCACTATATACGGAATGTGTACTCACACAATGACGCAAGCATGCATCCCCATGGCAACATTCTCGGACAGGTTCCGTATGTCACCTACATGCTGGTATTGGCTACGCGATCATACGCGACGCCCAGGTCGACAACCTGACCCGTCGCCCGTTGCCTCCGCGTTCAAGCTAGCTGTTGGGCCACCATACAATGCATTTAGTGCTTCCAATTGCCTCCCAGGAATCTTGAGTTTCGAAGTTAGAAGAAGAGTCGAACGGTCTCTACAGGGATTACAGCTACACCATGGCTCTGTGGTGAGAGCATCGCTGGCCTCAAGAGAAGGTCCCTGGTTCAAGCCCTGGTGGTGACTGTCAAATCTTTGTTCAGACTTTTCCCGTTTGCATCTTTCCCTCACACCAATCCATATTGCCTCCCTGGTTCACCTTTCGGCGCAATTATCTAAGTTGCTGGAGAGAGTGATGAAACGCCCGCTGCTTGGAGACGTGGACGAAAACCAGGCTTGGCCTGATACAGGCAAGTTGCCCACTGGAGCCATAGCGCAGGAGAAGATGCTTTCTGTCCACACACAGGTAATCTAGAGAAGGCCAAAGTTGGCGCATAGCACTTTTTCGTCAAGACATGCCCCGCCCAGGGCCTTAAAGGGGAAGTATACCCTAAAATCAAATTTTCACCAGTTGTAGTCTTCTGGGTGCTGAGTCGAATGGTCTTGGTCCGAGAAAGCTGCGACGCTCCCTTCCTACTTGAATCCCAATCGAACTCGCGCACTTCCACCGAAACTGGGTGACTGCGCCCTACTAGATGGGGATTTGTATGCAAAATGTCACTAAAAGCGCCATTTCGTTCTTGTAAAAGCACGGATGACCGCGATTGGCCCATATGTTGTAGTCTTTTGGACGCTGAGTCGACTGGTTTTGGTCCGAAAAGGCTGCGATGCAGCGTTCCTCCTTTATTCCCAATCGAACATGGTTGAACAAGCGGTCACGTGCTCCTGGGTGCCCAAATCACCTGGTCACCGCGTCAGCAGGCGACAACTAACTTACTTACTTACTTTCACACCAAGGTTCAACTCGAGTGACAGGACTGCACCCAAAAAAGGTCAAACAGGCTAGTAAGTTGTACCCTGCAGGCACGGCGACCAGCTGACTGGTGGCCTGTTTGACCTTTTTTGGGTGCAGTCCTGTCACTCGAGTTGAACCCGAGTTGAACCTTGGTGTGAAAGTTGTCACCTGCTGGCGTGGTGACCAGGTGATTTGGGCACCCAGGACCACGTGACCGCTTCTTCAACCATGTTCGATTGGGAATAAAGGAGGAACGCTGCATCGCAGCCTTTTCGGACCAAAACCAGTCGACTCAGCGTCCCAAAGACTACAACATATGGGCCAATCGCGGTCATCCGTGCTTTTATAAGAACGAAATGGCGCTTTTAGTGACATTTTGCATACAAATCCCCATCTAGTAGGGCGCAGTCACCCAGTTTCGGTGGCAGTGCGCGAGTTCGATTGGGATTCAAGTAGGAAGGGAGCGTCTCAGCTTCCTCGGACCAAGACCATTCGACTCAGCACCCCGAAGACTACAACTGGTGAAATTTTAATTTTTGCCTTAACTTCCCCTTTAATACATGGTAGAAACAGCTTATTTGCTCTCCCTGTCTCTCTCTCTCTATCTCTCTTTCTCTCTGTCTCTCTCTCTCTCTGTTTCTCTCTCTCTCTCTCTCTCTCTCTCTCTCTCTCTCTCGTTCAGCACTGCTGATTAGCGCCAACCAACAAAATCACTGTATATCAGAGTTATCTGAGGATTGCCTTAGCTTTGCTATGTGCATGAAACGCAGCGTTACAACAATGACCTAGCCGGCTGTCTCTGTCCTCTTTTACCTTTGTGGTAGTGGTCCGTCCTTGTGGTATTGAGCACTCTAGGCAATCTGGGAGTTCTCACTATTGGGACAAAAACACTAAAATTAATGTAAATATCATGAACCGGGGCATTAAAGAGCAAATGAGGTACAGAGGTGACAACAAAGTCACGCAAGGTGAATTATTATATGGAAATGGAAAGGGAAGTTGAGGAGAAGAATGTTATCTGTGCTGGATCAGTGCGAGAGTTTAGTACTCGAAGTAAAACGACCTTTTTTCTTTTCTTTTTTACTATGTTCACATTCCCAGCTCGATAATAATAAGGAAAGACAATGGTACTGAGACTAGGACGAACGTGACAACTCCTGTGCAGGGGCTCCCATGGTGTAGTCCGTATTTTGTATTGTTCTGTATTTTATTATTTTACTTGGGCATTCCCAACAGACCCTAAGGTCTTCTTATAGGGTGCCCAAGACGAATGAAATTGTTAAGTTCTTGGCGAAATGAATTGGGGATATGATTTGTGCGAAAGGATTCGGGAAGCGCATTAAAGCGGTCAGCATCAAGGAATGAAATAGATCTGTATCCAGCTTGAGCTTGCACAATGGGTAAGGAAAGGGAAAAATTGACTTGGCCGCGGGTTACTCTATCTGTGTGAGCGCAGTCACGGCGAAGGGAGAACATGTTAGAGAGACCGTGTGTGGCGAATGGACAAAGTTCTGCCGTTCTCGTTTTGGTTACGGTCATCGCGATAGCGAAGATAACAATAATAATTCAGCCCTCTTTTCCTATCGCTTCCTGTAGAAAATGGCTGAAAACGGTCCCATAAGGACCAGTAACCAAAACCGGAACGAGGTACTGTCGAAACTTGCACTTGGGCGTAGAGACTTGAAACTCTGGTCGTAGGCATGCCCACGATCCTACTGAGGATGTGGGACAATAGTAAAGTGGTACAGAAGACTAGGACAAACAGACGAAAGGGGTAGGACATGCAAAAGCAAGGTGCAGGTGAGGCGAGTTCAGCTAGTCCGACCAGAACTGTCCGATGCTATTGTTACTACTGTAGTACAATTCATGTTCACGCGGTTCCCTACCGTCTAATACATGTACTGCTGTTTACCCCTGTTTCCCCTATGGTGGCCTGTACAGACTTACAGCACTGTTGCTGATAGACTGTGGGGATTGCCCAAGTAGAATAATAGCTACAATAACTACAAGACTCGAGTGGAGAGCTAAGGATTAATTTATAAGAAGAAAAGAGGACCAAAGATCTACAAGTTTGGCGATAGTATCCACTAACACCACCAGTTACTTTACAAAAAAAAACAAAAAAACAATCGCTCTCTCTCTCTCTCTCTCTCCTCAACCATTCTACCTAACCTGCTCTTGTCTTTATCGCTAAATCACCCTCTTCTTTTAGGCTATGGTGCGAAAGCTCACGTTAACGCCGAGACCATAGGTCGGTGTTGTGGGCTTGCCTCCCAAACACAGGCTTGCTTTGCAGCCCCTACTCTCCCTGCTGTTTTGTTATTGTATACTCTGTTGTCTTCTCCCCTTACGGCGAGTAAGTTGTGTACTTATTAAAAAAATCAGCTCATGCGATAACGTTGCACGACACCGACTAAAGAAGGCCTTAGGCCTGTGGGGATTGCCCTATGAAAAATTTGATAATAATATTAAATAATAATAATAATAATAATAACGATGTGCTGACGTTCTAAACCTAACTGGCAATCAGCTACAGCACGTATTGTCTGCACATTCCAACAGCCTTCCAACTAATCTTAGAAGGTTCTAAGTTAAGAGCAAGAGTAGATTGTTATCTCCTCTTAGTTATAGAAATAACATACACAGGGAAAGGTGAGCGCATCCACGATAAGCACAAAAAAAAATAAAAAAATAAGCACGAGCCGAAAGTCTCATCTGTGAAGGACGTTGTTGTACAAGTACAGTGTGCCGAGGACGATGCTGGCAAGACCATCAGACAAAAGGGTCAAACCGCGATTCAAGGACGCATAGCAACATACCACATTTGTTTTACTAAGTCCACTATGCTTTTTCAGAACACGGAGGCTCCACTGCAGCCAATTCATATTACGATCCACGATGGTCCCGAATGAATGCGGAAAGTGGTGCCGGGCCCCTGCTGCTCAGCCCACCTTGGAGGTCTCGGCGTCTGCACAGACAAAGCGCACCAAGAAAAATAAAGAAGGACATAAGAGAGAGAGAGAGAGAAAAACAAGACGAGAGCAAGGCAATGCACCACACATATACGGAAGTGCAGCGCCCACTACATGCATTAGCGCCCACACATCCACTCCAAAGGGATCACATAACGTGTGTGGCTCATATCGCATGAGCTGATTGTAAAGTAACTGGTGGTGTAAGTGAATATAATAATTATAGTGTAACTTGTAGCTCTTTGGTCCTCTTTTCTTCTTATAAATAACTACAAGAACAATAATTCAACTACATGTACTCAATGAAAAGAGGAACGACATTAGTGTCAGGGTTGACCAAGACACTACAAATTGCAGGCCAAACTCGCCATGCACGGCCGGATTAGTGAGCATGTAGCAACGGCGAGTAGTTTATTGTCGGTAATTTCTCACTCCCAACACCGTACTATACGATCCCGTATGTCGTGCCGTATCCAGAAGATACGGGGAGTTTCTGCCACATACAGCACACCCTTCATTGACCACGACCGTATACGAGGTTGTACGGTATGTGTACCGTACAGCCAGCAGACAGGAGGACACTGGAACAGAAACAGCCAGCACTGGCCACGCCAGGGTATCCAGAGGATTGGAGATTTCGTCCACTAGTCAAACCGCCGCTGCCTGCCGCGCTATCGCAAAGTGTCTCACTCACTTACCTCTTTCCAATATTTTGTCTTGGTTCCCGTGCGTGGCGTTGGAGCAGCGCGCCTTGCCCGCAATCTTCCTCTTCTCGGCTTCTTCTACCAGAGTGTTCGGCACACATTCTGATCGCTAGAGAATAATTCTATCTTTCTCTCTTCTTCGATAACCGGCATCGTGGGAATTTGAAGGTGACGAGGCGTTCTTAGGATTGGGTCTGCGGTCGGGTGCAGCGGGCAGACTCTCGAAAATGGCGCCTGTAGTAAAGAATAAGCAACTACCCAAGCTTGTCAAGCGTCGTCCCCTTGTGGTTACGTCACTCATCAAAGCAGGGACTAAGTCGAGCCTTTACAGCGTCCGAAAGGATTCGTCGAAAGTACGGAAGAGCAAAGATCACCTAGCCGTTCGGATTGCAAACAAGATAAACTACCAGGGGGTAATACATGACGAACTTGCTCTCCTTACCAAGCTAGACCACCCGGGACAGGTAAACATCCTGACACTTGACAGCGTTGTTCGTATGGATAGCAATACGTCGTACAGCAAGCCGTTCGGTCTGGTGTTTCCGTTAGCTGAGTGCAACGTGGCCGACTGGATCGACGTACAGTATAACTATGACGTCAAGGCAAACATCAGCCGTCTGACCGAGGATGATTGCCAGGCGTTCGCCCACCGCGCCACCCATCACCTCAGGAGCGCCCTCGTCTACATTCACGGCAAGGCTATCGTTCACAGATGCGTCGAACCTCGCAGCCTGGTCGTCGTCAAAGGGCGCATCAAGCTGGGCGATTTCCGGCAGGCACTGGAGAGCACAGACGGCCCAGGAGTGCCTGCGCATTTGAAGGGCCGCGTGGGAAATCCCCTTATGCGCGCGCCCGAGATTTTCCTGGATGACGAATACGGGTACGGCGCGGACGTGTTCGCAATGGGCTTGACCATCTTGTTGATGTACGGACGGAGACTCTGGAACAACAACAAACACGACATGACCATCATTAACGGCCGCGCGGCGAGCGACGAAGAAAAGGAGCACGCGGCTCTGCGCGAGATCTTGCTACTGGTGGGCGGCATAACCAGTGCGAACTACAGAGGCGTCGCCTTGCTGCCGCGCTACAAGCGCTTCTATCAGGACCTGCTGGCCACGGCTGGTTCCGGCAAGCTGGATGATTTGTTGAATGGTCTTCCCACGGACATTTGCACTTTTATCAAGCACAGTGTGACGCACTCCCCGGCCATGCGATTCAGGGCGCAGGACCTATAAGAACAGTGCAGTGACAATCGCCCAATACCTTTAAATCCACGAACAAGTGGAGTCTCAGTCTCGTTCGCAGTTTTACTGCCATAACGCCAAACAACTCAGTGACAAACGTCCGATACTAAGACCTCCGTAGACAAGACTTAGCGAACTCTGTTTCATTTGCTGTATCCCTTAATTAATCTCCTCACCTTACCTTTCTCTCTTCTTTTCCGTTCTGAGAATGTCCACGTTTCTCGTGTCTCTGCTGGGATGATAACAAGTGGTAGAGCATCGCTGGCCTAAAGCGAAGGTTACTGGCTGAAGTCTCATACTAGTGGTGAAAGTCAGTTTTTCTTCCGATGTTTCTCTTTTCAAATCCCTAAATTTAATGAAAGTCCTATAATTCTGTTATCATCTTTAATAGCAGGAACATAATGACTGTATTGGTGTGTGTCCACGTCTGTGCGCAGTGTTTTGTTTTGACCATTATTCATGCATTCCTGGCTTTGAAATGAACAAAATGCTCATGATGATGTGCTACATGGTATGGGTGCGTTTCGGTGTGCGTGGTGGTCCCACTAGCCCATGGCGGTTAATGTCGGCTGAGAATTTGCAGAATTTTGCAGAATTTTGCACTTTTTCTGGTATGTTTCGTGCACGTCTGGTATGTGGATAAAGAAATGGGCAGAATTCGATGAAGTGGCTGCCATAAGGTTTTTATAGTTCTGCAATTTCACTGCTTTTCGAGCAGAATCTGCCATTTTTGAGCAATATCCGCCATGCCGAATTCATAGCACAAGATCGGTTTCACACCTTTGTCATGTGACCAGAATTAGGCGTTGAAAGCAGGGACTCCCCCTTGGCGGAGTCTGCTCCAAAGCAGTGAAAGTGGCAGGGTCATACAAACCTTATGACAGGCACTTTCTTGAGTTCTAATTTCGTTTTTTTATTATCCACTTGTACTCAAACCTGCATGGAACATAATTAATATTAGATAAACCTTGTTTAGTTTACACGTGGTATTGGTTTGACAGCATGAAACAAGTTGGAGGACACCGTGTTCGGAAACTAAAGAAAGGGCACTGTTTGCGAACACAGTGATCATGGCATGTGATCGCGAAGGACTAAACTAGCTGGGACGGTACCCACACTTAAATTTTACCGACTTTCCAGGCAAAAATGGAACTAGTTTACTTAAACGCACATGCAGCTGGCCGGAAAGGGAATCTGATAACAATTTTAGATCGAGGAGTCTGGAATTGTGCGTCTAGATCTACTTGTTGTGAGGTCGATACTGGCTATAATTATTGCTAGTAATCTTGCGAACTCTTACTGTGATTATTCTAAGTCATACTGATACATGCAAACCTTGTCAAAGCAGATGGCCGGCGTGGTAGCGCTTGGTGGAATTTCATTGAGGAGCACTGGACATGTACATGACATTATGTATTCTAACTATTTTTGTTAGTCGGAGGTCTCCACGTAACGCAATGTTATCTACATGTATGTATATATAGCTGCAATTGGAAGATGTACCGAGATAAGTGGTTATATCAATAGCTACGCGTATTTTTGATTGGCGTTTTCACTCGGCCATCGCTTCATATCGTTCTTGTACATTGTACTTCCCTGTCGAAGGTCGTTTTAGGCTGCCTCTGCTGTCTCTTCCGACCGGTGAGTTAAAGAGAGCGTTGCACAATGTCAGTGGCTAAGCTCAGATCTTGCATCACTGCACGGGCATTTTGTTACCCGCTCTACACTCAAGCTTCATTCGTCCACATAACACCTACGCGTACGGGCAGCAATACGCAGTGGTAGTACCTGATAGTGGTAGCGCTACTTTACCGTTAGTACATGGTATTTTAGAGGTTTTCCTGTTCTGCGCTGGTCAACGCGGTGGATGGCATTTGCTGGGCCAAATTCGGCTCAACTGCGATACGGACTCAGCGCCCCTTATGGTTTTCGCGACTGAGATGCACTGTACAGCGTTATACTAGTACTAGTAGTCAGCAGTACGACGGGCGTAGGCCTCTTTAGCGCGAGTGTCGTGCTACTAGTACTAGTAGTACTACTAGTACTAGTAGTACTACTAGTACTAGTAGCACACACGCTCGCGCTAAAGAGGTTACATGTACTTTAGTATGCAGTTCCATCATGCATGATTACGTCATGATTACGTCATGATTACGTCATGATTACGTCATGCGCATACATATCAGTGTGGATCAAAGAGTGAGAGAGAGAGACTCAGACTTCAGAGAGCACTAGGGTTGGGTCGGTTTCGCATCGTTCGGCTGAAGGGGGTGGGGGGGGGGGGGATCTTTTATTCTCACGATGGGGTGCTTTTTGGCATTGCGATTGCACTTGATCATGTCATACTGTCCTTTCAACAGCAACCCCAGAGCACAAACGTACCTATCCTACCTCCCGGCATGCCTGCACAAACTGCACATCTACTCCTACAACAGTTGCGATCCGCCTGAAGTATGATCCGCGCAGTGTCTGGGGGTCCTTGGTGCCACTACACTACTGCTCTATGCCCAAGTCAAGCAAGTACCACACAAAGGCAAGCCAATAGAGCCCAAAAGGGTTTTTCTATGACTCATACACGGGGCAGAACAACAGAGACCAAAAATCTTTCTCGTAACTCCGAGTTTCGTGTTTCAAAAAACACTCATCAGACGGAACTCGGAGTTACGAGAAAGATTTTTGGTCTCTGTTGTTCTGCCCCGTGTGGTAAGCTCTGCCCTTTTTGAGGTATCGAGCACTGTTTGCAGCAAAGACTACAGACACTTCGACTCATATACATGTACAATCATAATAATTACTTCAAGTATGTTGATGGTTTGACATGAAACAAGGTGGAGGACACCGTGTTCTGAAACAGCGACCTTTCTACAACCATCCGCACGGTTGTTAGAGCCTCGGTCTGTTCAGACCATCTGAACTGTAAATGTCAAACCATCAACATAATGTAAACTAAAACAAACTGTATCAAACACCATGTACAATCATGTACATCGTGTTCATAGCTTGACATGGTGGTGGTGGCAGAAGCTGTTGTCGGCTGACGAGCTGAGAGAAGGACGCCATGGGCAGAAGTTGGAAGAAAAGACGTTCAGGGTAAACATTTCGGATAAAACTAACGTCTATTTTTTAGGACTCTCGAGGAGACATCCAGGAGCGATCGGGGAGTGCACGGCTGACGTTAGGAGAAGTCTAAAAAAAAACCCTGGTTCTGACCATGGGTGACTGGCCCAAAACGTCCAAAACATTTCAACATCGTTAGAAAGAATTTTCATCTAAAGAGTGAATAGCAATAATTATTAACTAGACCGTTTGTCAGTTGACAAAACCAGCTTTTCTCTACAAAACCCTTCAATAGAATAAAGATGGTCGGAACCAAGTCCAGGACCCATACGGTTCAGATGGTCTCAACAGACCGAGGCTCTACCAACCGTGTGGATGGTTGCAGAAAGGTCGCTGTTTCCGAATACGGAGTCATCCGCCTTGTTTCATGCTGCTGCCAAACTAGGAACACTATGCAAACAAAAACAAGGTTTATCTACTCGTCTAATCATAATACATGTACATGAACATGAACATCAGCATGAACACTCATAAAAAGCATATTTTTAAGACTTTAGACGCTGCTGGTATAATGGGATGCATGCCGTAAAATAACTGTCCGTGCATAATAATAGTTAGATCGACCGAGTAAGGCGTTTGCTCACTAACACCAGAGAGGTTAGGATGCACGTTATTTCTGATGTGACGCGAAAGTTCAGCTCGCGTTATTTGGCTCGCACGTCGAAAAATCAACGCGAGGCGGCGAGTGACCTGCTGCTCACGTCGAAATTTGGAGTTTTACGCCAAATTTGACGTGAAATTGCGCGTCACGTCGGAAATAACGTGCATCTTAACCTCTCTACCAGGGAGTAGTAAAATATTGTATTTTACTACTCCTTGCTCTCTACCACCTCGGCCAATGCCCTGAGCAGGCTGGCCTGCAACAGGGCTGCCTGATCAGGCCCTGTTCTCCCAGTCACTGGGGCGTGCTACGTCACAGGTAGGCACGAGAGTTGACAACATTAAGTTAACTATTAATATTCTTTCAGATTGACTTGTGTGGGCCAGGGAGTCGTAAAATACCTGCATTGTCCGACTCACTGGTATGGATCCATAAAAGCGCAGGTAGTTGTCCTTCACCTGCATCAGTGACACATCCACCGGCGGTGACCATACATAGCCAATAGTGGGGCATTCAGGTAGGGTTTCCACTCCCGGTAAGGGTATCGAAAACATCCCAAACTGCCTTGTACACGAGGCACTTACCCATCAATTATAGGGAGATTAAGATGCACGTTATTTCTGACGTGACGCGAAAGTTTAGCGTTACATTGTACAGTCAACTTCGCTAATAACGACTGCGGATATAACGACAATTCGCGAATAACGAATGGAAAGCCACCGGCTCTGACGACATTCCTGCTTCACTTCTGCGTGCGTCCTCCAAGTATCTTGCTGCATCCTTGGCGGAAATCTATAACAACTCCCTTGCCACTGGCGTATTCCCCGAACAATACAAGCTTGCCCAAATCTGTCCAGTCTTCAAGAAAGGTGATAAAACGCTCCCACAAACTATAGACCAATCTCCCTTCTTCCAATCGTTTCCAAAGTCCTAGAAAGAATCGTCTACCACCAGTTCCGGCAGTTCATGGTCTCTGCAGGTGATGTTATACCTGACGAACAGTTCGCCTATCGCTCCTGTCATTCATGCGGTGACGCACTGGCGCTATGCATTGACAGTTGGCAGCGGTCCCTGGACTCTGGCAACGTGGTTGCTGTAGCATTCCTCGACCTCAGCAAAGCCTTTGACTGTGTCCTGCATGGCGAGCTCCTTCTGGAGCTGCAGCGCTGTGGAGTAGGAGGCACTGTTCTGCAATGGTTCTCCAGCTATCTGTCCAGCCGACCACAGCAAGTGAAATGCCTCCGTCAACCACCTGGAACCCCGTACACGGCCA